TATATTTCAAATGTTATTCTCTTGCATTCTATATACTGTGTCATGTGACGAAAAGTTTGTTGTATGTGACAAATTGTGACATTCTTCTTGAACAGATATGCACTGAAGCTTTCTGAATGATTATTCATGATATGATTATACTAAACAAGTATGATCAGTAAATCTACCCTCAATTATTGTGTTTGCAACTAGGCTCTTTTCATAATAATGTCAGTAGTTGATATTAGGACCAGGTCCTTTTCATATCAGAATTTAATATCAGGTCCAGGCCTTCTTCACAATAATGCCCAATCCTATATATAATGAAACAAGATCTGCACCTAATATCAAATATTATTTGATTTCTCCGCAGCCAAATACCATCAATTTCTTCAACAAAAATATTTTGTATGAAAAATATCTCAATGGCTAGCAGAACAGTAGAAAAAAAAAAAAATTTCTTTTTAGAAAATAATTAAACATTAAAAGATTGATTAATTTTACAATTAGTTTTTCAAAGCTACTAAAATAAACAGTGCTATATTAGTAAAAAATCTCTAATTGTTATTGTTTCTATGTTAACTAACGATTTTTTCAGTCTTAATTATAATAATCTGAAATTTTCCGGTCCAAATGCGTAATTAATTTCTTTAAACAATTAAAGTAATTGGTTTAGCAATTATAAACTATAAACAAACTATCATTAATCATGTTAAATTACATCAAATAATTTCAATTGAACAATATTATTTTGTGATTTTTTCATATGCACTTATTTCCTAAATTCTATAATAAAATGTATCAAATTAAAAACTTGACAAATATTTAAGTTTTAAACTTGAAAATGCTTGAATTATTTGCAAATTTAACAATGCATGATTATTTGACTGAAAAGAAAGTTGTATTGCAATTTTTTGTGTTAAAACAAAAATTATGATAAGGTAATTCAAATTTACCGTTTCGATAATTCCGGTTCTAATTTCTGGTCCTTTGGTATCTAAAGCGATTGCAACATCCGTCATATCATCTTTGCTTCTTAATGCTTCTCTAATATTTTGAATTGTTTGAGCATGGAACTAAAATAATAAAAAATTATCAATTTAGCTTATCAACTTATCATATTTCTCTATATTTTTATATTCTTTTTTTTTTTAATCTTTAATTTAAATCATATAAAGGAGTCATATAATCTTAGTTTTATTCCATTTGTTGAAGGAAAAATTTTCACACTCAAATATAGAGATTCAAACTAGAGAATTAAAAATTTTCTAGGCTATATGATCGAACTATATCTGAATCCCAAATAAATTTTCATTTTCTAAATATAAGATAAGCTTAAAGATTAAAAATTTCTTGAAATATTTTTTAGACTAAAAATTGAACATTAATTAAGCTTTTGTATTTTATGATTATTAAATTTATTGTATTAATAATAAAATGATAATTTCGATAGCACTTTTATAACGTGTCATTTTTATGTATTTGAACGTTTTAAATTTTATTTAAAACTTCATTTGCTAAATTTGATATGAGCAGTTGTTGTGGTTAAGTGCAATTAATAGCAACAAATACCTAAGAAAAATTCTTAAAAGAAGAGAAAAAAAAAAGACAAACAAACTAATCAATTGAACAATTAATCAATATTGAGCTTAAAATTTTTTCAAATAACAAAAATATTAAATAAATAAAAATATAATATATTTTTATAAAAACCTCATGACTACCATGACTGAAATTAAGACGAGCAATATTCATTCCATTAGCAATCATTGCTTTTAATTTCTCTACTGTATCACATGCTGGACCTAAAAGTGATTAAATATTATCATAACATATAAATTGTTAAACTAAAATCTGTTTACTTATTTTTTTTTTCATTAAATTTTAGTTTTATAAAATTAGTTACTAAATTATCATAAGATATTAAATTATATATTTTTTATATAAGTTACTAAATTATTATAAGCAAACCAATCGTGCAAATGATCGAAGTTTTGCGATGCAATGTTGGTTGTTGTGATATATTTAAATGACATAAATGTTCTAATTGAGTTGAAATTATCATAGGCATATCACTGAAATGATATTATTGATAATATTTACATTAAAAAAAAAATGAATAAACTAATAAGATTAATTTTTTTTTCATTTTATTCTTAATTGAATAATACAACGTGTGCTTTAAGATGCTAATATTCATTAATCGATAGATTATCATTTTATCATTTATTTATTTACTGGAATAAATGAATAAAGAATAGAAATACAGAAAAAAACGATACTAAAAATGAAAATGTAAAAAAAAAAAATTGAATAAAAAGGGAAAAAAATTAAAAAAAAAAGACATACTCATTATTGATACTTTCTAATTTTGCTATCATTATTCGTTTCAATATAAACTTGTTGTGAAGTTCGTACTACAAACAGAATAATTAATAATAAAATTAGTCCAACTTATTCCGTCTAAAATGGAAAATCAATTCAGATTATTCCATCTATTACAGAAAAAAAGACCGATATTTCGAATTATAGTAGAGAAATAATCTAACTTTATACCGATTACCACAGAGTACAACTTTATTTCGATTATAATAGAAAATTTAGTCCAATTTAATTTCATCTACAATAAACAAATACTTTAGCATGTTTAGTCTAATGGTAGAGAAGTAGTTAAAGTATCGTCTTTCGTATAGAAAAACGGAATATCAAAATATTCCGATTTTGTTTTTCTATTTATCACTCTTACATCCCTTCACTGTTAAATGACCTTTGTTCGTTTCATTCTTTTGTCAATCTGTTACTCTCTTCTTTTACACTTTCTTCGCTTTGTTTATGAAATGAAATGAACAATTAGTATTTTTGGCCAAAGAAAAAAGGAAGAAAATTTAACTATAACCATATTTTCAAATAATTCAATTACTACTGTTACAGTGTATTTGTATTTGTATGTATGTATCAATCATTTATTGATAACAGTCTGTAAAAGTTTTGTTTTTTTTTTTTTTTGGATGTAATCAATTTGAACTAATAAAATTAATAAATTTATGATTGTTATTGATTGGCAGAAAAAAAACTAAATTATAATGAATTATAATATGTGGAAATAAAATTATATATAATCCGTAGAATTAACGATACAAATTTTTGAATGTAACCAATTAAAGATTGCATAGTTTAAATATTCCTTTGAACAAATAATGTAAGAAATCATTTATCTAATATTCATTTTCCTTGTAACTGAATTTATTCATTGTTGACAAAGAATATGTGTAAGAATTTGTCCCCAATTAGATTGTTTACAATTATCAGCTCCTTATTTAATTGACATCTTCTGTTGTTTGTCGATTTCTTACTAGCTGTAAAATGTATTGAAATTTGAACAAGGTTAGCAGTTCTTTGTTTAGCTGACCTACTTTACGGCATATTCACTCCTCTTTATTGTAAAATAATATACGTTGTTATAAATTAATGCTTAAGAAGAAGAAAAAAAAAACCGTGAAAAGGACGAATTTGATCACATTGGTATAAATTTATCATTTTTTTTTCCACTTTTAATTCATAGAACGATTGGGTTCATTCTTTATGTGTACATTGATTTCACAAATTAATTTATTGAACTTCCTTACTTGAATTGTTAATTTTCTTTCATTGTGAACTTCCAAAGAATACAAGAATATTCACTTTAAGGATTGCTTTAAGAATCTTCCGTGTGGTAATTTTATTAAAATACTTGTTATTTTCTTTTTTTTTAAAATTTATTCTATCTCGGCTTATTTTTATACACCGCGGAGTTTTTCTGCTTCGTTGACTAATCTAATTTCTTTCTCATCGAATGTTCTTATTAAGACATTTCTTGGAAAAGAGTGTTCTTTTTTAGTTCTCTCTCAAAGAATGATTAAATATTTATTTCTTTATATCCCAAAATGTTTGCCAAAAGCCTTTGAGGATATTTGACTAATATTTAGTATTTAATATTTTTCTTTTGTACCTAATTTTTTGGGATGAAAATTCTTCCTAATCATTGTTGTTAGCAATTGGGGTAACAAATAAAAGATGCATTTGGATGAGATGAAATCAATTGAGCTTATGAGTGATTGAGTATCCTTCAAAGTATCGCTTCTTTGGTTATTCCAATTTATCTTCCACCGTACAATCCCACAACTTAGTTTCATTTTTATTGTTAATAACAGAATTTTTTCAAATTTTATTACAAAAAAAAAAAAACTTTTTTGTTACAAATTTACTACAAGAAAAAGTCACTTCCATCTAGTATCTGGAAATTTTTTTGCTTTCGAAGAATAAAAATATCAGTTTTAATGTAATTCTTATTGTGATACTTTTATCTTACAATCTTATTTGTTTTTTTCAAAATGTTTATGTTTATTTTAGAAATTTTACTAAAAAATTTATAGATTTTTTTTTAAAAATTTATAGATAGTATTTTAATATTTCTATTTTAAAAGAAAAGCATTTAATTTAATATTCATTTTATAACGAATTTCTTTTAAATGATATACAAATATACAATTACAAATTCAGTTAAATTCAGTTATTCTGCGACAGGATACAACTGATTCATAGTGTATCCGCGTGAAATGGTACCTTCATTTATCATAGTAGTTATACAACTTTGATAGAGTACTACATTAGGGATTGAGAAAATGATGTAGAGATTATTGGTGTATAACAGAAGCAGAGATTGAAAGGAAGTCGAAGACTTTAAATGAAAAAGAAAAAATGATTTGCCGCGAATAAAACATCTAATGTTTTTGTTGTGTAGTCGAAACTTTGGAGGAACGGTTGCCGGTGATTTTTGTTCTTTTTTTTTTTTCATGTTTCAACTTGTAAACCTCATGCAGGTGCGTGTTCCACGTGCAAAAAAAAACGGATCATATCTGAAAGTGTACTGTTCAATTAGATAGATGTGAATATGATATGTGAAATATTGACAGGTTAATGATCGTTTTTCTAATCGATGCAGTTAAATCTTTTATTGTTCAATTTCCAGATAGTATATACTGATGATAGAGGAAAAAAGAAATGATTTGGATGATCTCATCAAATGGGTATGAAACGTTTTACTAATGGAATTTTGTTATAATTAAAATCTAGCTGAAATAAAACCAAAATACATTTTCAGGAAATTTGATATAATCATTCTACAGTAGTATTCTTGCAACTTTCCATGTCTTTGAAGACTCTTGAAAAATACTGCTGAAAATCAAGTCAACACATGAAGCTTTATGATCGGAGTTTCAAAATTTTCTAGCAGAAAAACGACTAGACACTTATATTATTTAAAAATGAAGATTAAGCATAACATTTAAATCGATAAGATTCCGTTAAAAATTCCATATTCCTGTGCAGTACTTTCAAATTACTTTTGAGTAGGTTTTTATCCAACCATTATATGGTTAGATTTCTTTTTGAGCAAAAAATGCATATTATTAATCTATTCATTGAACATAATCTATCCAGTCCTGTAGTTCAAACTTCTTTTTAGATGAATTCATTGAATAATGAGAAGGAAATAACGTTGGTTGATATTTTTCCGGGTCGAACTATTGCGGAGGCTTTATATAAAATGTTCGTTTTTATCAAATCTTTCTCGAGCACATTCTGAATTATCTTAAATTTAAATAAGTCGGATGGTTTTTTTGCTTTTGCAAAATTAAACCTCATATTTTCTTTTGAGAATATAATTGGTAGTGATGGTTTTGGAATATCATGAGAGAATTCTCATCTCTAATTTCTTTATACTGTGGGTTTATGTGTTTATTCTGTCTTAATCATCCGTTATGAGATCTCATAACTTTTTTCTGGATGCTTTTTGTTATACACTGAAAAATATTCCAACAAACTAATGAGATTTGCAGTGGTAATATTACAAGTTCAAGGTCATCACAACTGAACTTTTCATGGATCTGTAAGAGAACAAAAAAATGATCTAATAAGTACGATTGGTTCACTTTTTTCTTTTCTCTGGGCTTTTTTTTTTTAGCTGGTTCTTCATTTCAAATCGAAAAATAACATCATGGTACCTTCTGAAAGATATTTTTACAATAATCATGGAGTTAATTTTTCAGTGATCCGTTATTTTTTAATGATAATTGGCTAAACACAATATCATGTTACGATCAAATGACTAACTGGAGATTGAAAGCAAATAATTTACGTAAAATTTACCGTCGGCTTTGGGAATATTACACAGATCAGTTGGGAGCTGAAATGACACAAGAATGGCATATTGACACATCACAGATAGGTAAGGTCAGAAGACTTGTTTATAGGCTATTTCTTAGCTTGTTAGTTTGTCTTAATTTGTTCACATTGGTAGTTCTTCTTTTCATTCTTTTAATTGTAATTCAAGAAACTATGCTAAAGTCTTGGTGACATTTATTAATCTATTAATATAACTTCTGATAATCGAAAGTAGGGATTTGCGTTTTTTGGAGGAAATTGGACTTTAAGAATTCATAATGAACAATTAAAAGCGTTACAATTATTTGTAATTACTTAAAAATATTACAGCTGAATGCGATGATTCAGAACTGCTATGTCGATTGTTGCAACTTGTCCTTGGAGTTGCTATGTTTTGTGCAAACAGTGAAAGTAATATTTTATATGACACTTTTTCCTCTTTTTATGTTACATCCTTTAAAAATGTTTTGTATGCCATTTCGGTCGTTCGATTGCTAAAATTCATAATTTTATTTCAGAATTTATACGTCCTTTACTAGATCAAAGCGAATCTGTACGATGGACGGCGATGAATGTTATGAATGAAATCAAAAAAATACTGCCAGAACGATCAAAAGAAAAAATGAAAACATCTGAGACATCAGTAATTTTTTAAATCTTATGACAAAGTATCACATACTTTTTTCTGACATATGTTCGTGAGAATATGTAACAGAGATTGCTATGAAATAAACAAATTCTTAAACTATGCTTTTAGACCCCTGAACCGGTGGAATCGAAGGAACAAGTGGTGGATTTGAAGAGTAAGGTTGAAAGCTTGGAGCAAGAATGCGCACATCTGAACGAAAAGGTTCTATCTCTATCTAATTGTAGGAATATATATATGTTTATTCGAGGTGTTTCCCTTTTCTTTTTTTCATGAATCAAATTAAAACTTTGATCCTAGTATAAAATACTTTGCTTAGATACTTAAATAAAATCGTGGTATTATTTGAAAATATTTACAACTTTAAAGAAAGAATGTTACCAAATAATACTTAACTGATCACTTCTTTAGTTAAAAGAAGCATGCACTGAAAAGGAGGCACTTTCTAGCGATAATGAGAGTTTGCGTCTACGCGTTGATGAATTAAGCGAAGGATCTATTGAAATAGAGTCGTTGCGGAAACAAATTCGGTCATTGCGTTCCGTTCGTGAAAGCACACAGGATGCGCTTTACAAGTGATGTTTCTTTTTTTTTGTTTTACAAAAACTTTAAACGTATGACGCACTTGTTAATGATATTATAATTTAAACGATTAACAATTTTATAACTTAAAAAGTTAGTCTCATTTACAGGATTGAAGCTGAACGAGACCATTTAAAAAATGTTAATCTTCAGTTACTAGATGAAAATACAGAATTGCGGGCCAAGGTTTGTTTTGATCGATTAGAATAGTTATTGATAAGTTTTAAATCATATTTTGTTAAATTTTCGTTTTTATTTATTTATTTTTATCTTGATGTGATTTTATTGTCAGATCCAAGATATGGCGCCATTAGAGGAGGAATTTAAGCGGTTGAAGGATGAACTCGAGGAGCATCGACTTATTGCTCAAAACTGTAAAACGCTTGAGTCGCAGATCACTACTTACAAAGCTAAACTGAGTAAATTTTTATTTTTTAAGAGAAAAATCTGTAGTGGATTGGAGTTAAAACTATGCAGAAAATATTGGGTTATCATTTATGCCAAGTGAATTGTATTTTGTCTGTTTGTTTTGATGGTGTGGTTGCCCTATATTTTGAAATTTTCTAAGGTTATTGTGAGATCCTATTTGAAATTTTCGGGAATTTACTTTTTGAATTTATGAAGAATTTGTTATACAGTAGAGATAGTTACATATCTCAATAATAAGAAGGAAAATACAAAGTAATTTCTTTTCTAGGAGGGTATAAGGCACAAAAGATTGAAATGAAAGTACTGGAAGATAAAGTGGCCACATACATGGAAAGTATCATAGCTCTGGAGGATGAGCAGCGTAAGAATGTTGCGCTTAAAACTCAAATTGAATCTCTGGAATTGGAAAATTCGGAGTTGGGAGCAAAATTGAACGATGAAATTAGACGATCTGATAAGGTTAATATTTGGAATTAAATGGTTTGTACTGTTTTTGATATGAAACTGATTGCTGTATAATGACTCTTTATTAACTGTAACAAATTTGATTCCTTTACACTTTGTTGTTAAAGATCCTAAATATTTTTTATATCTTATTATTTCAGGCTGAATTTGATTGCAAACAACTGAATGAACGAATTGATGAGATTGAAAAGGAAAAAGAGCATCTTCGACAAGAACGACGTGAATTAAGTGAACAACTGCTTTTGCGTGGTGAGTGCATAGTGAAGTTTTCTTATTCACCTGAAAATAACAGCCAGTGTCGGAACTTTTTCATAAAATACTTTCAGATAATAGCAACGGTGCTCCATCATTATACGATGAAACAACTAACGCAAATTCAGCCGCTATTTTGAGGTTACTTTCAGACGAAAAAATAGAATATCATCAATTGTCTAATTACTGTCTAATTATCAATTATTAGTTGTTAATGTCTAAGACTTATAGCTCGGTATGTAGGCGTATACGGTGTTAAAATTACATTTAATAGATTTTTTTTTTCTCGGGAAGGCTTACAAAGTTTCTTCAGTTTTGTTTTGCTTCTCTTAAATTCGAACTTTATTCCAGAGAACGAGTCATTCGATTGCAAGCAGAAAACGAGTGTTTGTTAGCTGGAAATATGGCGGACGACGAAAAGTTGGGTTTAAAGGAAGAACTTAATTCGCTAACTGTTCAGAAGAGAAATTTGGAAACAGAACTTAAATTGGCACATAACAAATCAGATGACTTGAGAAAACGGTAAGCAATCATGACTAACAATTGAAAATTTCCTTGGTTTTCCTTTTTTCTTCTCAGCCACAATTTTTATGGCATTTTATTGAATTTCCATCGTGCATCAATAAAGTTTAGAAATAAATTCCGCAGATCAGTGTATTTCAACTGGAAATGATAGTCACTACTTGTCGTTGTTATACATTTATTATAACATTTTAACTTACTTATTCCTCAGTAGAAGTATGTATATTTTCAAGATTGAAAGAACTGAATGCCATAATTGAATCTGGTAACTTTGTGAACAGTGATCGGTTAACAGAGGAGCAGACAGCAAGGGAACGAATGATTATTCAAATAGCACAGCTTGAAGCAAGACTCGAACAAGCAACTCGTGATCTGGAACAGCAGACCGCTGAAAAGAAAGCATTAAATGGTGTGGATATGGAGAATATTGTTGAGATTTCTTAAAGTTTACTGCCTGTAGTTATCTGTCTAATATTTAAAGTTGAAAGTTATGAGAAAAATAGATTTGTCTATCTTATTTTTCTGTTCTAGAAGAGCTAACGTTGTCAAAACAACAAGTAAAGAATGAAAAAGACAGGTTGACACATTATATGGAAAAAGCACGCCGTATGATTGAAGATTTGGAGGAGCAGAATCGAGCTGTTGAAGGTGGTGCACTGAGTAGGCATGAATTTGATTCAATTCGTCGTGAAAGGGATACATACAAACAAAATGTATTTCTTTTTGTTGTTAAATGCTTTCATGAAAGAAATAGGCTGAATTCAGATTTGCATAAGAACTGGTAATAATGGAAAAAAAAATGGCTTATGTGTAGATTATTAAATATTGTGACTATTTGCTATTTATTTATTCTCTATCCCTAATTATTGCAAATTAAAATGGTGGTTTATGAAAATTTCGATACAATTTTGCAGATTGAAGCATTGAAAGAAAGTCATGAACGTAGCCGTACAATGCAAGAAGAGGAACAGCGATTGTTTACAACTCATGCCTATTACATGGTATTCTATGCATTTAATGATAAGCGTTGATTTTCTTTCTAGTTTTGTATGGTTTAGCATTAACGGTATAGTTTTAATTATGTACGGTACTTTTTGTTTAAATCAGAAACTAATCCTAAAATTTGTCAGCTATTAAAGGTAGCTTTAAATTATGCTTAATGTAGCATGTTAAACAGTCCAAAAATTTTCATAATATAATAATCAGAAAAGTGATCTTGAATAAACTGATGTCAAACTGTGCTATAAAACACTGTTGAATTTTATTGATATGGAAATTAATTTATATTAATCGGAAAGTGTAAAAAGTTGATTGAACTAATTTAGTTGTCATGTTTTGTCATAGTTTCCATCTACTTAGCTCAGATTTTTTCCCACACTTTCCTTTTTTTTTTTTTTTTTTTTTTTTTGCAAAATTATGAATGTAATAAAAAATGATTTTTCAGATGATGCAATTGCAGCAACAAAATTCTTCATTTAAGGAACATTCCGATGAAAAAAGCTTCTTAACACGACAACGACAATGTAGTAACTTCAATATTATGAGGTGATATCCTATCCGCTCTTTCCTTTTTTCGTAACTATTCCGAGCTGTTACAGTGGATTGTGAAGAGTAACTGGCATATTAGACTATTCGCTACAAATTCGTTACAAGTTATTATCTGGCATTCCTTCATATCTTCTTGACCATTTGTTCATGATTCGTTGTCAGCTTTATTGATAGCGAATATTGGGCAAGTATTTCTAATTTTTTGCTGGTTTTGAAAATTCCTTTCCAAACAAGAAGAGTAAAGTCTATCGATCAAATGAAGCAGTGAAAATAAATAATTTAATAAATTGGATATTTTTCAGTCATACTATTTGCTAAAAAAACTGTCCTTTGACCTATAATTTTCTTTTTTATTTGCCAAACTTTTGAATGATATCGAATAGCTTCGACAACAAGAATATGCTAACTGGTTCTCGTGGACATTCTAATTATAGATAACAATTTTCATGTTAACCGTTAATTAGATATATATTAACTTAGTCATCAAATATCAGCTTACCTTTGTTTTGACCGTTTCCTCCACCCTGGATGCTCGCAGGGATTTTTTGTATTTTTCATTTCTATCGATTTACTTTCTCTCTATTGATTTTCAAGAACATGTTTAAGGAATCAAAAGTATAATTGAAGGATGAGATAAAGAAATTTTTTCTTTAATATTTATTTTACCAAGCTTACGATACTTGTTTTCAGTTTGCTGGCTGCAGTTTTATGCTTGATGCTTGCTTTAACCTTCTTTTCGAGGAATTCTCCGTCACTTTATAGTGAAGTTTCGTTCACCGGTGTACCGCCTACTTGAAACACTTCCTTTACTAACCCTTTTAATATCATATTATTTTCTTCTTCCTTAAAAAAGGGAAAAAAAAACGAGTTGAAAAGTAACATGCGGCTTGTAAATTTTATGTCATTTTTTTTATTTTCTGTCACCTTTCGCTGATCTCAGATCACTGTTCAAGACGGCTTTAAAAGTTGTAATGGAGTTCGGAGGATTCCATTGAAATTGAATATCTTAGATGTAAAATTGCTCTTACTTCAGGGTCAGAAAAGCTAATTATTTAGTGAATAGAGTATGAATAGTTATAGTTTTGATGTCCATTTAGGATCAGTAACTGTATTTCCTGTGAATATTTCTAACGAGTTTTTTGCGTTTAACTTCCTTTAATTCTGTTTTTCTTGTGTTTTGTTGTTTTATGTTTGGCTTCGCATTCTGCATTTGCTTTCCTCATATTCCCTGTGCTTTTTTATTTTCACTTTTTCCTTTGTGTTGATAACGGAAGTGTGTAACGGAAGTGAAATTCTGTTAACAGAGATTCGAAAGAAGCTGCGTGACATCTTCAGGATGAAATGAGCTTACTACCATTTCTTTTTATTTTTGAAATTGTTCGTCGTTGTTTTATCGTTTTATACCTTATCTTTTTCTTGAATAGCTACGCGTTATCATGTTCTGATATCAATAAAACCTAGTTTCATATGTATTATTGCATCAATTAACTGGAATATAAGTACCACAGACTTCATTTTGTCTATGAAATACATTTCTATTCTTCATACTCTAACTTTTAAAAGATGGATCTAATTAGCTTCCATAGAAAAAGTTCGACAGTAATTCATAAGAATCACGATGGAGAAGTAATAAAAGAATAAGAAGTAATAGTTTAACAGGTAACATGTTTAGATGATATGCTTACATGTATCGGAAGGAATGATATCCAGGTAGAAATGAATTCACAGGTTAATATATGAGGCAAGGTATAATAGATTATTTATAAGCTTACTTATTAGTTTATTTGGAAATTTTATTGCCGAAAGTACACTTCGTTTTATTGAAATTTTTTCAAATGATGGATATTTAGAAAGATCATAGCTGGAGTATCATATTTCATAAAAGTAATATTCTTGGTATGATCATTGATGATCAATAATGATTCGTAATATTAATTGTGTAATGGTTGTTTTTATGATTCATATTAACATTCCAATTATATAGGATAATTTCTTTCACGTTCAATATCAGTGTTGTTTGTACATATTTTTCAATTAATTTATTTTAGTTCGATGAAGGATTAAAAAACGTAAATTGAGAAATTTATAATGTAGTAGCTGGGGAAGATATTTTTTATTACTGTCTACAATAATTTAATAAAATTTGGAGAACATTCCATATCTAAGAAAAAAAAAAAAAGGAAAGACGAAAGAATGTATAAAATATCAAAACGATTATCATCAACAACAATATATCAAATTGTACTTGATGAACAATTACGTGAACGTTTCTGTGAACGTCTTAAGCAACAATCAATAAATCCTATTCGTTCATCTTATCCGATTAAACGATTATCTAGTAAGAAACGAGATAGTGCTGTATTAATACCATTAGCGTATATTGATAAATCACCATCAATAATATTCACTCATCGATCATTGCTATTAGCTGGTCATCGAGGTGAGATAAGCTTTCCAGGCGGACGTTTAGAGCAAGATGAAACTTATGAACAGGTATGTTTTGTAAAATATTATTCTTTTAATTATTTTCCAATACAAATAGATCAAATATTATTAATAATTCTATACTTATATCATCTGAAATGATAAAAAAAATAAATGGCAAATGTTTTAAGGCATCAATTATTTACTTACGAATGTAAAAGTGTAAAATTTCGGAGATATTTTATAGTCTAGACAAATTAAGCTAATATTTGCTGATTTAAGATTTGCTACATTTGAAATAATAATTTTTATATCATAATGTACATGTAAATATTAAAATAATGCCATTTATATGAGGATAATTTCAGGCAGCATTACGCGAAAGTGCTGAAGAGATTGGCTTATATTCCTATGAAGTTGAAGTTTGGGGTTGTTTAAAACATATAACGACACGTTTTATGAGTACTATAACGCCAGTTGTTGGTTTAGTACATGACAGTATTGATTTCAGTAAAATTAAAGCAAAATATGATGAAGTTCAAACTGTTTTCGCTGCACCAATTGATGAACTTTGTATGAAACATCGTTATACACACTTCAGAAAAGGTTAATCATAAATTATTTGCATAAAAACTTATCAAATTGACTTTTTCAATAATGCATATTATTGATTTTTCCTTTTTTTTTTTCAAACCAAAATTGACTTAGTTATAAGAAGGACTAGTTGAATATGTTCAAAAAGTTGGTAGGTTAATTTAATGCATTGCTTTTATAATTTTTGATAGAATTGAATGTAATTTTGGGTTTTAAGTGATTCAACTTGTACTTAATAAGAGAAGGGTATGAATTTATTTGTTACAAATAAATTATAATGTTTATATAATGGAAATAAAAGTATGTTAATGTTTATTATCATAAATGACATGATTTGTTGTATTGCAGGTAATATGGAATACAAATTACCGGTTTTTTTCACTTCACGTCATTATATTCTTGCTACAAACGTAACACCGCAGAATGAATATCGCATTTGGGGTTTAACTGCCGAAATGCTTCATCTTGCATTGCTCAATTTATTCCCAAAATTTTATCAGCCTAAAATTTAAATTGTTACTTGTATTCATCGATGAATTATGATTCAACACATACTTTTCCAAATTCAATCATGACTACTTTTTTCCTCCAACTATTCATCATTTTTTTATCAACTGTTAATTTTGCAGCAAAAAATTTAACCCTGTATAATAATTAGTTTTAAATAATAACAATTCGATTGCTAGAATATTATTTTTTTTCAAAAATTTGCCTTGCATTATTGAATTTTTGTCACATTTTTTAATCAGTAGGATTTTTTATGAGAAATGAATGAATGATATAATAATTAGCATTTTTGATGTATAATGTTTTGCAAGAAATAGACGAATATATATGTTCTTTTTTTCTTTTTCAAGGAAAATTACCGAGATTGAACACTTTGCGTTCTACTGAAAATGTTTCTGGTTCAATTTTTGGAAGTAATTAGGCAAAGAAGAAATATATGTTATAGGGAAAAGTCATGAAGCGAAAGTAAAGATGAAAGAAAAGTGTGATATAAGTTGACAAATATGTGGGAATTGTTGAGATAATCGTTTAAAATGAGTTTAATGATAATTCCGCCTGACAAGAGTATAATCTAAGCTATTCACTTCCTACTAACAGGTATATTTTATGCTTACTTCTTCAATTTGTTGAGTTTTATTAACTTGTTTTCCTTTTTATGGTATAAAATATATTTCCGGTGATACAACACAGTGATAGATATCATTTATCTTATTTTTTTTACCACTTTGATATGTGTTATTCAATTCTTAATAGACATATGATAGAATTTGTAATTTACTGTAATAATATCTTATTGTTATTGAATCAGTGTTATTATAAAATGGTGAACATTAGCTAATAAATTAGAATACCCATTAGCATTAAATTTGGCATTTTATAAATGTCTTAGAAATTTTGCTATATTTGATATGTATTCTTGTAAAATAAATTTTATAAATTACCTTCTATGATTCACGTCATTCAGATTCGCTATATTTTTTAATTACCATTATTAAATTGATTGGTGTCGTGCGTTTGAAATACACAACAAAACAAATTGTCGTTTGACAGCCGAATATGATATAAAGGATAATTTGTCCAAACTGCCATTAATTAACGAATATTTTTGAAACGAGTAATTTAGAAATATCTAATAATTAAAAAAAAAAATGCAAAAAAAATATTGAATTGAAATTGGGATGAACTTATTTGAGAAATATTTCACATCGTCCGTTCAAATATTTTCCTTTTTTTCAGTACTGATTAAATTAAATTTTATCCTTTCACTCAAATCATTTCATTTATATTGTTTTAAATTTATAAAATCATTTCTCATTATCGTTTATAATTATCCTTATTTAGTGACAATTATTGTTTTTAATATTATTTATGATTAATAGATATTTCATCTTTATTTGATTGAGCATAATCAACTATTTTCATTTCATTCAACTATTTATTAATCTTAAAATTATCAAACAAAATATAATTATCATC